AGCTAGCTACATCATCAGTGTTTTTTTATTTAATCATTAAAAGTGAGTTCATATTCTAACCTATCGCCTAGTGATGCTTGATAGAAGGGCATATGGCTATCCAGAAATTCAAAGTCAAGCAGAATAAAGAATCAATTACCTAATGTATCAACAGCAGACTTCTACGATGGTATTATCACCACTATCAGCACCAACACACAGTCTCATGGAATTTTTATTACAAATACCTTGATAGTGTAAGTTTTCCCGTTTTTTTAGCTATTCTCCAGAGATCGATGTAACAGAAGTATACATCGCTGTCGTCAGTACTGAAGACCTCATTACCGCTAATTTTGATAGTGCTTTTCTTTGCAATTGCATTACCTTTGTTCTGAAACGAGATTTGGAAAACGAACTAGAAGTGTTTGATTTTAATCAATGGTACTCGGGTTATTAGTTTTTATTACAGACTGGCGAATAACGTTGTGGACTTAACTTGCGTCTGTATTGCAAAGACATTGTTTATATTGAAATTATGTTTCCTTATATTTAATTAAAAATCGATGATATTAATCTGCATAACCTAACCGATACCACTGCAGTCGAAGGGGGACAGACGAAACCAGTTTTATGAATCTTAATGAGAAACTTTTGCAATCAGCTGTCTTAAAAGAAGACAATAAATATGTTACTCCTATAGGCACCTGACTATTTCAAGTTTACAATAGATAGTAAAGGAATATTGCGACTGCGTTGCTCTCCAAATATTGATCTTGTAAATTCTTGTACTTGGAAACCCCTAGCACTGTCTACAGAAGCTGGGTGTTGTGGCAGCATCAACATTATTCGTATAATGAATTAGGTCTTGTAGACTATGACAACTCACAAGCAAATCTTTCTGCAAAGACTACTAAGGTTCTTCAGACTCTGCGGGCTGAACTTGCAGCCATAGATAAAGATAATTTGGAAGACATACCACAACACGCAAAGGAGGCCTCGGATGGTCTTGAAGATATCTTGGCAACCTATGAAGAGTCTACATTACAGGCACCATCCTTGGACTACAATATTAGAGAATTACAAGGCCTTGATAAGACAATGCAAACAATGCGGGGATCACTCATCAATAATATTGCCAAGCTAGATGAGCTAAACAAGCATATTGCTTATGAGAAAACAAAACTTACACAGACAGAAGATGAATTCAGTAGATACTTTTTTGCAGAAAGATTGAATGACTTAGAAGATGAAAGATCAGCCCGCTTGGAAGCAGCTTCCACTAATAGAGAAGCACTTTGTTCGCAAATCAGTGGAATTCGAGAAACTATTGATCAAGTCCTCAATGATGATACAACACTGGCCGAAAAAATTAAAACATTGTTCAGAGAACAGGGGACAGACAGACAGACAGATTTATTTTTTAAAAGGTCATTTGACCCATTGTACAAAATACATTTACATTATATTTATCTAAGAGTTACCTAATTGATACTTTAATTTGTGTTGAGAACACGTACATTAGAAATTTTGCAAATTTATCATTGTATCCTTGCTGGATAGTTAACAGACTATTTCTAAATATTTCAAAAATAATGATGAATAACTGTCTTTGGGATATACATTTTCCGCAGACTTGCATAAAGAGGACAGTTGTATATAACATGAAGTTCATCCTCCGCCTCCGTGGTCTAGTGGTAGAGCGTCCGCCTGGAGAGCGGAAGGTCGGGGGTTCGATCCCCGGCCGCGTCATACCAAAAGACGTTAAAAGATGGTACTTGTTACCCTGTCTGGCGCTCGGCATTAATGGGGTAAAACAAGGACTGGTCGGCTCGGAGTCAGTATACTGTGTCTGAGTGGGGTATTCATGTTAAACTGCGGCATGGTATCTCAGTGAACTAGCACTATATATCAGCATCAGTCCGGACTAGTACAACACACAAACACACACACGTGCATGCACGTCGCTATATAAGTGCAATAATCTTGGACGCGACGTTAAACCCAATTTCACCTCACCAATTACATGACAGTGTTTACACAAGAAGGCATCATCCTCAATATTAGCAACACCCCTACGAATAAGTTGAATACCAAGAGTATTTTGTCTACATTTAAATTTGGTTATCAGCCTTATATCTTCACAATGCTTGATATTTGATAAATATTTTCACAAACGATACAAGATTTACTCAGTTTATAGAATGAGAGAGTCTTGAAACGGACAATCTTTAACACTTTCGCTGAACATATGTACAAATAATTTTGCATTGCCAACACTTTGTGCAGCCCAAACATCCCCAAAACCATAATGACTTTGCGATGAGTCTGATATGCGATGCCCAGTTAGGACGTTTTCTATCAGCAATGGATAATAACATTTTATAACACTGGTATGGGTATCTGTTTGGACTCGTTTGCACAATCCTAAACCAATATTTAATGCATTTTCCATAATAAATAGTGTAGCAGGACTGGGTCCGATGCCCACAGACCACAGACACTACGGTGTTCGTCAATGGCCAATATTTATTTGCAGAAATTGTGAATGTGATTTAAAAGAAAATCAAGCAGGTGTGTGGGCCTGGGTTGATATCACACCTGGGGACGATGCCGCGCTAAGTTTCTGCACAGTAGTGCAAAACTCGTCTTTGAATTTGATCTAAGGTTCCCCAAAAACGATCCTTGTGAAAAAACACGTGAATATATATATGTCTTTATCCGTGGAGAGACCACAGTCCTTAGATGTCCAGCATACAGCATGGCTGTGTACCCAAGCTGGCCATATAGACAAAAGGCTTGAGTAGGTAGAGGGCTGGGGCTATTGTATTAGTTCACAGGGTGTGACAGTCACAAACAAACCATGCAGTAAGCATGCTTAGTAAGAGTGCTGTGACTGATGGTTTAGATTTTAAAGTAGGCTGAGCAATAAAATAAAATGACTACAACTGCATTTAATTATGTACATGAATTATACTAAAAAGGTAAAATACAAGAAACAGTCAAAATATGTAACTGCCACAATAGTGTGAAGTGGATACCTGCCACACTCACCATAGGCTACTGCATTTACAGTTCTGTAACCCGTGCGAAGTATAAATTTACAAAATTTGCGATGAACAATTTTAATCGTATTCCAGCACAATACATTAATATCGGAACATTTTTTTATCAAATAAACTGACGTCCAAAAGAAACTTTACCAGAGTTTGAAATCACTCTTGCTCAAAAACAACAAAACATACATGCATGAAGTAAAGTGTATTGAGAAGATCAATATATCAACATAATCAACACTGAAAATGACAATCATACCCCGACCGAGAATGACGTCAGAGCCCCCCAAAGTTGGGTGTTGTACAAAACTCGAGCTTTCAGAATCATGGACAATAGGCAGAGTACATAAACAATCGCTCACGTTCAATAACAAGTCATTGGCGTGTGTGACCACCAAATGCCCCAATACACGCAAAAACTCTTCGACGCACAGAAAAAGTCAGTCGTCTGATGAGGTCAGGTGGGATTTGACGCCATTCTTCCTGGAGGGCCAAAGTAGTAACCTACATCGGCGTAGGACCACTGAGATTTCTGGGACCGCTCAGATTTCTGGGACCAAGATGGCGGCACATCCGTTTCCGGTCACGTGACCTGCGCAGTGCATGATGGGTACCTGCGCGCGCATGCAAGATGGCGTCGCATCCGTTTCCGGTGGCGCGCGCCTGCAAGATGGCGTCGCATCCGTGTCCGGTGGCGTGCGCATGCAAGAGGGCGTCGCTTCCGTGTCCGGGGAGGAGGAGGGATAGGGGAAAAACCCGGAGAAGCGCACGTACAAGGTGAACAGGATCGACATTGAAAGAAGCGCGTCAAAAATCTTTTGTTGTTGTTGTTGTTGTTGTTGTTCTACACATAGACGTGGGGGTGGGGGGGGTGGTGGTGGTGGTGGTGGTGGTGAAGGGAGGGTGGTGGTGAAGGGAGGAAGGTGGGAGGAGGAGGAGGAGGAGGGAAGGGAGGAAAGGAGGAGACGGGTCATGGTGTTGGTTGGAGGATCGTCAAAGCAAAGGAGGATAGTTGTCTTTTGGGTGAGATGGCGATCCTGTTTTGTTTTTCTTCATCCTACAGACAACACAACACGACTATGGGTTCAACTTTTTTTTTTAATCCCCCGCTCACATGAACCAACACAACAAAACAAAAGTCACAGTATTAGGGGCGTCCCTGTGACTTTTGTGAACATGAACGTATGTACACGTATGTGAACGTATGTACAGTTTGAAAAAAAAGAACTTTGATAGTGAACGTATGTACATTTTTAAACGCAGTGGACGTATGTACACTCCTCAATCAGGAATGTTGACAGTCAGGTGATCGTAGGTTCAGTGAACAAGTGTCAGGTCAATAAGGGCAGAAAGGTTGGTTCTTTTGATGTAGGGTACGCGTCTGGGCACTCAGTCGAAAGGCAGGCATCTCATCCACAGGAACGGAGGTAGACACTTTGGTATGAAACCATGCTAATACCGTGGCATCATTCTTGGCGGTGTCCTTCCAGTCCAACGTATCTAACACTTGATTAAAAGTCCACCGACGCACGCGATAGGTCAACATGTAGAGACAGTACACGCCACACAACGTGCTGTATCCATGTTGTAAGGGGCGTGTATTCCATCGTTGTTGAATCTGACCCATGCGATTCAAAGTCTCTTTAAACAGGGGTAATGAATACAGTCCATAGCTATCCATCATTTCCAGGGATCCAGGAGCTGGACGATAGATGCTCACCCAGTGTGTGCCAGGTTGATCGCTTAAATCTGTGTTGATCACGTAGGCTTTGGGGTAAAAGGGGTCATCCTGTTGCCATCCCAGTCTGGCAAAGGCATCTCTGGCCAGGGTGCCCCGGTAGATGGCATGAAGTGGTTTGTCATCAGCCACGAGGGCTTCTAAATCCAAGGTGCTCAACCCGAGTGGTTCATCCATGGTTCCTTGTAGGAGGAGAAAAAGTGTGGCATGACCGTCTGTCGCTGCTCTTTTTATACCATCATCGCATTCCGGAAACGATCTATTTCCAGAACATTTTCGTATTCCTCATAGCAGATGAGGGTGACTGGGTCCTCGAGAGCTTGTCCAAACTGGATTTCCAAACCCAACTTGCCAGTGTGTCGAGGGTAGTTGATGCCTTCATCAGCGCCAAGGTCTGGTGTGAGATCCACCACCCACAAGGTGTAACCTTGAGTAAAGGCCTTGGGAGTCAGTTCGCAGGTCTCAGGTCGCCATAGTTGTCCCGTGTTTCGGAACAGATTCATGTAGACTTGTTTCAAATGGGCACTGTTGTTGCTGAAGTCGCTTTTCATTTCCGTGCCATGGACTTCCTGGCCGTTGACTTTGAGCTTCATCATGGTGACATGATGGTGTTTGAAGTTGTACGGATTCTTCTCTTTGCTTCCTACGTAGGCACTATTGTCCACCAGTCCCAGGACCACGCGTTTTGGTAATTGGCCACCGATGAGGTGATCCTTGTGAAAGTCCCTACCGCCTCTCGGGATGTCATGGGCAGTCACATGCACACGTGAAAGGGGATACTTGGCAGTCACCCCAGCGTTCAGACTGGACACGTGTGTTTCTCGGACAGCAGGATCGATGTTGAGCTGACGGACATAGAATTCGGCTTTGGTCAGCGCTAGTTTGTAGACACCATCAGCAGCACACATGAAGAAGAACTCATCGGGACTTCGTAGCAATTCCAGTTTCATAGGGACACCATCCAGCAGATAACGGTCTTGAAGAAACAGATCACAGTGTAGACGGCCTGTAAGTTCCACTTCTTTGGTGGGTACGATAAGATCGCGGCGCGTTCTGACACCTGTGTTTCTTGTGTTCGCATCTGCATCAGGATTGAAGACGTCCATTTTACCAGCATCGTCGGTGAACCATCCAGGACATCGAAGGTGAGATGTTTTGGCTCCTGTACCATAACTCAGAAGGGTTTCCAAGTAGGCTCTGTAAGGGTAAGTGCCCATGGAGGGTGTGATCTCCAACTGATTGTGTCCCACTTGCAGCCGCACTTCGCGAAACAGGGAATGCATCACATTGTTGACTGTCGATACAGGGTTATCCGCTAGAACGGTATCCGTGCCATCATCTTTCGTCACACGTAGACATACTCTCAGGTAGCACTGTTTCAAATCAATGTAAGCGTTCACGGGATTGGAAATGTTAAACTGGAGTGGTCTTGCTACAGAGGGTGGTGCCAAGGGACTATAGCGAATCCACTGACCCTCTTGCACAGAGGTGGACACAGGGGGTACAGTAAAGAGATCCAACTGGGCCTTTGAACATTCGCAAGCATCTCGGCGCATCATGATGGATGTTTCACCCTTTTCTCTGCCTTGAAGGACGTCTGGTCAGGTTGAAAGTCTGATGAGGACTGACCTTTAAACCGTTTTTCTTTTCCTTTTACGCTGTTTCTGGTGGGTGGTGGTGGTGGTTGGGACGACTTTACGGCTTTTAGGGGGTCTCGGCTCCTCACGTTCCTCCAAGACATCCATCAAAGCTGCTGTGCCGTGATGTTTCAGACTCTCTGACCATTTGCGTTTGCCTCCAACCACATCACTCACCAACCCAGGCAGGATCTTTTTACCCATCTTGAGCACCGATGTTCCGGCAGATTTAAGGAAAGGCAACACCATCTTCAAGATACCTCCAAGACCACTGCCGCGTTGATGATAACGTCCTTTGTATACTTTGATACCACTCCCACGCTGGCCGAACTGTCCTCGATTCATCTGGTGTGCCAATGCGTGTCCCAACATGTTGCTTTCTGCGTTAGTAGCGGCGTCTGAAGTGAAGTGTCACGATGGCTTTCCCCATTTGAAATGGCACGGGTCGCCCTGTGTCGTCCATGATATAGAGTTTAATACCGTCAAAGGAACCATGACGCAACCCAAGGTAGTGAATGTGTTGAGGGCTTTTAATCACCACACTGTCTTGCATCATCTTCTTTGACACAGGCACGTAGATCAGCAAGGGAGCCATCGTATTGCCCACAATTTGATCTTCGACCAGGTTGGTGTAAATGTACACAGTATCAAATCCTGACAGACGATGTGCTTTTGTGTCACCTGTGATTTCCACATAGCCACCGGTCATGGGAGTAGCCCCCACTTGCCAATGGGCCAAGGCAGTCAAGGGAACGGGCGTCTCTGTGTAGGTTTTATAGTCCTCCTCACCGAGGAGCGGTAGTTGAACAAATCCGAGCATTCTCGAGAGTGGACTTGGCATGATCACTTCCGTGGAATAGAGTGGTCCACCAGTATTTCCCATGAGAGGATGATTGATTGCTACTTCTTGAGGGGCTTGGAATCGCACCTTTCCATCTTCAAGCATGTCAAATCGAAGACTATCTGCGGGATACTTGACATCAATGACAAACCGTCTCCCATCACTTTGGACGCTGTCTGAGGGCTGTTCTTTCAAGACATCCGTAATATGTTCCTGAATCAAACGGTTGAGGGTTTTCACCAAATCTTCAATTGAATAGACGCCTTTCTCGATAGGAATCTTCTTGCTTTCATAATGGACGACACCATACTGTGGGTGTGGTATAGCGCTCCCCGTGCTTTCATACACAAGGGTGTCTTTTTTCAGTTTGAGGTTCAGCGCAAAAGGGTGGGGCGACGTTGTACCATGTCATCCGAAAGTGAACTTCGCTGACGCCCACCTCCCACTGTTGACGGTCCAGATGCAGAGGATAAGGCAACTTGATTTCATATGCATTGACGGTGTTGTTTGGATAGATGTCCATGGAGGCATCACTGGGCAGGGTCATGTTAAAGTCTTGTTTCGAAAAAAAGGTGGCAGCCATGATGACGTGAGTTAGGGTAGAAAACTCTGGGTGGATGAGGTATCAAGTTGAAGTCTTCTGGTGGGCGGGGTCGTCGTGGATATGCCTGGTGAGGCGGCCAAGGTGGGTGGTGGAAGTATGTATCCCAAACAACTGGAGAGCAGGGCTGTCCACAACTGTTTCTCTCCGTGATCCAAGGCCAACTGTACCATGCTCATGATGATCACGCCATATATCACAATGATCTGAGCAAAAAACACGACTTCACTGCGGGGTAACGTCATGCCAAAACAACACAAAGGTGAGTGTCGACGCTGGTGATGACGAGGTGCAGCAGCAAGGGGTGGTTCATCGGTACCCACGGATGCTGAGAGGCTTCTCTGCAGAGGTGATGACGGTGGTGGTGGTGTCGGCGGTTCTGTCATCGCGTGTGTCCACCCTCTGAATGAGTCTGGAGACAGCATGCTCCTTATTTTATCTGTAAATGATCTGCAGGGATCCACGAATTAAAACTGGCAGGGTAGCCAGTCCATTTCACCAAGACCTCTTCTTGACCCTGTTTCGGTCCTGGACGTCTTTTCAGCACGCGATCCACGGCATACACATCGTCTGTTTTCAAGATGGGTTGTATTTCTTCAGGGTAAAAAGTTCCTTGGAGGACTTCACCATGATCATCTTTGATCCGATACACAGGAGGTGTTCTCCCAGTCACCAACCGATCCACCGTAAACAGTTCGGTGGTCCAATTGGGGAGATAACCTTTCTCAAAGGTGCCTTTGGTTTTGTTCAGACGTACACGGGTGCCCGGCAGTAAAAGAGAGGGGGATCTTGTCTTGGGGGACGACGGTCTTTGTGTTGTTATTTTCTTTTTGCGCTGAAGCCGTTGTTGTTGTTGTTTTTCCTCCATGTAGTCTAACACCCGAATTTCTGACAGGGGATCTCCTGGGAGGACGTCCACAGGTCGCTGGCCAATGGTCCGATGCACACGACGGTTGTACGACTTGATCAACTGGGGTAAGACTTTCAAATAGTGTCTGGTCCCATGCTGTGTAAAGTATCGCCACATTTTATTTTTCAGAGTCCTTTGAAACCGTTCCACCACGGCTGCTTTCGTTTCAGGATTTTGACTGGTGTAGAAATGAATGCCATGCTTCGTCATGAGAGCCTGGAAAGGACGGTTGACAAATTCTCTGCTTTGTCTGTTTGCAATTGAGCAGGGAGTCGATCTTTGGCTTGTTGCATCAGCAAGGTTTGAAAACCTTCGGTCAAAGCAGAACTGCTCTTGGCCTTCAGGGGTTGCACCCATGCCATCTTTGAAAACACATCGATCACGCACAGCAGATATTTGAATCCTTCGTTGTCGTCTTGAAAGGCAATCATGTCACTCAAGTCTGCTTGCCACAGTTCATCGACCCCTCCCACACGATAGTGGTCTCTCGGAAAGGAGCGTCTGGCTGGTTTGTGCAAGGTGTAGGTACTTTTGGTTTGCAACCAACGCTTGATTTGACTTTGCGATGGCATGGTTTTCTTCTTGCTTTTACTGGTTCTTGCATCTTGAGCGTGGATGCTTGCTGCTTTCCACAAAGGTCGCCAGCCTCCAAAACTTGCAGGATGTTCAGGATGAAAGTAAGTTTTTTCCAACCAGGCCGTCCCAAGGGAAGTAGGAAATCCTTTGTTTTGTTTCCCTGCAGCAGCAGAGGGAAGAATGCGCTGTTGCGTCTTGGTCTGTCGCTTCATTTCTCTCAGACTGATGCCACTTCCTACATGAATGGCCTTTTTATAGAGAAGGGGAGAGATTTATTTTTTCTTAGGTGGTGCTAAAGGGTATCCATGAACCTCGCCTGTTGATGACACTGTCCTGTTTGGTATCAGATGGAGGTGGAGTCATCAACCATGGGGTTGATTTCATACGCTCCACTGGTGGATCCAGTTGCCACGAAGGAGGTGGGGGTGGCATCTCATCTTCTTCTTCTTCGTCTTCCGCTTGTGGATCCAGCTGCCGCCTCCTTCTTCTTCTTCTCTCTTTGTGACTTTGCGGGGAGAACGTGGGGAGGGAGAACTGGGTTATGGGTGTTTCTGGTGTGGCATGAGGATGGTGTTGCTGCTGCTGCTGCTGCTGCTTCTGCATCCATTGCCATCGTTGAGGATTTCCAATTATTTCATGAGGGACATGACTGTTGGCCAAATGGTGACTCAAAATGGTCCAACCTGCAGGTCCCTCTTTGGTTTTCCGGTGACGCACTAAATCGTTGATCAAGTCCACCATGTGTGTGCCAGGGACAGGTTTCCCTTCCACGGTCAGGGTTCCCTCTGGAGTCCAACTCAAGTCGGGATTGTTTTGAATCCTTGTCATCAAATTCATGGCTTTACTGGACATGGCTTTAGGAACACTCATGACCACTTCGTCTATCACTTGTTGAGGAGGGGCAGGTCTACCTGTGGTGTCCATTGTTGATGGTGATGACGGTGGTAGTGGTGGTGTCACTTTGGGTTGCAGTGGTTTGATGGTGTTGTTGTTGCTGTTGTTGTTGTTGTTGTGCTGTTGGCGCTGCAACTCTAGCATGTGTTGCAACAGTTGGTTGTATTCTTGTTCCCGCATGTGAAAAGGCTGCTGTGACCTCTGCATCAATGCGTCCATCTCTTCCAAATTTTGGAGACGTTTCTTTTCCAAGAGAGGGGTATGAAGTGTCTGACGATGACGTAGTTTGGTGGCCTGTAGACTTTGCCATGTGTCTTCAGACACCAACACCATCTTGCGTGCGTACTTCATGGTGGCACACCACACACTGATCCCAACCTTCCTGGTGTCAGACCATTTATTACTTTCCTCCAAACAAAGAGGCTAGGGCAGAACCAATAAGAGGTATGAGTCCTCCTAATAATCCTCCTCCATGTTGAAGAAGTTTACATTTCTTGCTTAGAGGTACTTGTTTTTTCATGAGCGTATTCAAGACTTTACCGTGTCGTTGCAAGTTTTGACGTTGCGTCGTGGTCATGGGAATATTGCCTGAATACAAGTTCACCACACATTCACAAAGGGCACGGATGAGATCAGTAGGAGCATGTTTGAGAATGGCTTTGCGCATCGCTGGAGCGGCAGCACACAAATGACACAGAGCATGTTTCTGTTTCCTGAGGCACTGAGACATCTTTCTTGCATGGAGGTGTTAGCCTGAATGAGTCACCTGATCTGCAGCTTCTCTCTTTTATCAGGCAGTGGCAGGAGGGAGTTGCAACTGTTGATCTGCCTTCTTGGACTTTCTTTGGGTCCGCAGGTGCACCAATCGTCTGAGAGCATCAGCTTGATATGCTTTCATGACATTTTCATGAGCCTTATCTTTTGGCTTAGTAGTCATCGTTGTTGTTGTTGTAGGTCGGTGACGCCTGGTGTTACCCTGTTTGAGGAGTGGTGCTTGAAGATAATGTTGCCATTGCAACAGAATGCGTGTCAAGACCCCTGCAAGTGTTCCACTACCACTGCGTTGCATCAGGTAGTCAAGACGTTCATCCATAGGCAGACGTGGATTGACAATTTAGTCAGGGTATCATGATGTCTCTGCAACCACGTCTTATGTTGAGCTTTCAATGGGATGTGTCCTGCTCTCAGGTTCCGCACGACAATCGCAAACCACTGCAAAAGACGATTTCTTCCTTTGACGGCAAGGGTTGTCGCATCCCTTGTCGGAAAAATAGACGGTCTCTTGTCTTTTTTCTTCCTTTGTGGGGGCTCCTGCTGCTGCAGACGTTGAAAGCATTGAAGATCGAGTGGGGGTGAGGGTGCTGATGAGGAAGGCCGTTGTTGTTCTTGACGATGCTTGTTCAAGGGTACCATCGAAGAGGAAGACGTACCTGGCTTGGACTTCTGCTGCTGCTGCTGTTGCTGTTGCAGAGGTTGAAAGCGTTGAAGATCATGTGGTGACGAGGGTGGCGAAGGTGCTGATGATGTTGAAGGACGTGGTGATGGCTGCTGCTGACGATGTATGTTCACGGGTACCATTGAAGAGGGACACGATCCTGGAGGTGAAGGAGTCTTGTGAAATACAGAGGTCACAAGTCCCTGTAGCGATGAGGGGGAGACCATACTGTCATAGACATCATTCACCATCTCTTTGTCTTTGTTCTTCCCCTTCGTAGGATGAACCTGTTTCCGTCTTTGCCCCATGATGGATGTAGGTCAACTGAAGGAAGGTCTGAGGGTTCACCTCCTTTTATGAAAGTCTCTTCATCTCATAGGATCGGCACATACACGAGGGGTAATTCAGATCTCGAAAACAGGCGGGCGCGTACGCGATGGTCTTGCAACGTGGTGGGCTTCAAGTCCAAGAACAAGTAAGTGTAAGGCTCTCGGATAGCGTCTTCATAGGCTTCACGCAGAAAAGGAACTTTGCCTGGAAACACCTGGCGAGCCAGACTGTCGATCTGCGATGCATCTCTCGGATTTTTAAAGAGGACCATGTAGTGAGCATTCAGACTGATGGTGCGATGTTGCGGCGATTGAGCAAACAAGTTCTGAGTGAGATACAGCACAGATGTGTTTCGGTGATGACTTTTCTTGGTGAACCATCGCAGCACTTCGGTTTCTTCTTCTTTCGTATTGTCCCCCAGCAAATCATCGATGACCAGCCAATGTGGGGCCACCCCTTTTTCGGGCAAGGCACGATCCGCTGCTTTCATGCTGTGGACAAACTCAAGAGCGACCCCTAAGCGGCCTGCCATCTCTTCCAGTTCATGATGAAGCGGTTGCCATTCGCTGTACACCCACACGATGCGATGGGGTGACGTATCCAACACCTCGGGGCGATGCATCTGCTCCATACATGATTTCACAAAGGAACTTTTTCCTGATCCCGTGGGTCCCGCAATGAACATCGTAAAAGGTTGGCGTAGGGTCAAAGGGCTGGTCATGACCTCTTCATCATCATGTGATGCGATCCTGTGTTCTGGCTGACTGACACCAGGCAACTGATCTTTTCAAGCATGACCTTTCTCTTTTATCTGTTATTTTCGTCTTCCTATCTCTCCCATGACCCATACAATTTCTTATGAAAAAAAGAAACACAACGATCGGTCCGATTTAGAAAACCGGGGCTCAGACCAAGTGTCGGAACGAACCCATCAGCACGATGCGTTTTCGACCCATCAGGAAGCAGGGTGTCAGTGCCTCTCCTATAAAAAGAGCGAAACCACGCACACCGTCACAGTCGAGCACTGAAAGAGAGATCAACCATGTCGTCTCGATGCAGCTGTCTGACGTGCCAGACCAACAGTCAACAATGCCAGCGGAGGATGAAAGTCTATTCATGGACAATAGTGGGCTACCCACGGGGTGAATCGGAGACGATCCTATCGCAGAGCCCACACTGGTTTAAGAACAAGTCTGAGGCTATGTCAGCATTACAACAAACTATTCAACGCGGAATTGACATACCCGACTGTTGGGGTGGTCCGTATTATTATCTAGTATCGAGATCAAGGAAAGTAATGTAATCAAGGTGACAACCCTTGTCCAGCTTGTTTCCAGTTTGTTTTCCAACGGCCCTTTTCAGGGCCACCCATCTCTCCCGAAAGACAGCTTTCCTCCTTTGCTTTGACGACCCTCCAATCCCCACACCGTGAACCCACCCCCGCCTCCTCCCACCTTCCTCCCTTCACCACCACCCTCCCTTCACCACCACCACCACCACAACCACCACCCCCACCCCCACGTCTATGTGTAGAACAACAACAACAACAACAACAACAACAAAAGATTTTTGACGCGCTTCTTTCAATGTCGATCCTGTTCACCTTGTACGTGCGCTTCTCCGGGTTTTTCCCCTATCCCTCCTCCTCCCTGGACACGGAAGCGACGCCCTCTTGCATGCGCACGCCACCGGACACGGATGCGACGCCATCTTGCAGGCGCGAGCCACCGGAAACGGATGCGACGCCATCTTGCATGCGCGCGCAGGTACCCATCATGCACTGCGCAGGTCACGTGACCGGAAACGGATGTGCCGCCATCTTGGTCCCAGAAATCTGAGCGGTCCCAGAAATCTCAGTGGTCCTACGCCGATGTAGGTTACTACTGGCCAAGATCAGTTCTTGCCGGTTGGCTGGAGAGTGTGGTCGTTGTCGAACACGACGATCCATAAAGTCCCAGAGGTGTTCTATTGGGGACATGTCGGGTGAGCGTGCAGGCCACGGCAGGACGTTGACGTTGTTGGCTGCGAGGAAGTTAGTGACAATTCTGGCTGTATGGTCTCTAGCGTTGTCATGCTGATAAATGACACCACGTGGCTGCTGTTGGAGAAATGGTAGGACAACTTGACGAAGAATGTTATCCATGTAACGCTGAGCTGTCAAGTTTCCGTCAACGATGATCAGCAGTGTCTTCTCCTGCCCACATATCCCTCCCCACACCATGACACTCCCACCACCATATGGTACGACATCCTGCACGCAACACGCCGCCGTTCGTTCACCCCTTCGGCGGTAAACACGTTGTCCTCCATCAGCCCTAAACATACAGAATCGACTTTCGTCAGTGAAGACAACCCTCTGCCAGTCACGTCGTTGCCAACGTCGTACAGTCCGGGCCCATCTCAATCGCAGGCGACAATGTTGCGCTGTCAATAGCTGTCCTCTGTATTGTCCAAAAGCCCTGATTCCATGAGCCCTGAGTCTCCTGGCCACTGTCTGTCGACTAACCCTGTGACCTAAGGCATTTGTCGCCGATGACGTCACTGTCAGGAAGCGATTTCGGAGGTGCAAGGTACGCAAGTACCGGTCATCATGGGGCGTGGTCACCCTGGGTCTGCCTGTTCTTGGCCTGTCAGCGGTCCGCTGTCAAATTGGCAACGGCAACACGGGAGCAACAGAAGGTTCGTGCAATATGGGCGTGGGTGGCTCCCATCTGTACCATACCCAAGGCTCGTTCACGTTGTTCGACTGTGAGTCGTGGCATTTCTTTTGTTTTGTTTTTTATCACTGTGGATGTCTGACTTGCCGTTGCAATCGTTTTATACCCTTACCCGCACGTGCATTTGCAGTTGTCCGCGGTGCACGTGTTTTTCACTTTTTCACAAGTGTCTTGCTCGCTCGCTCACATAAAGTTTTACAGGCCTTAGTCCAAATTAATTTGCGAGTGAAAAAAGTCCCAAATATTTTATAAGCATTAACCGTTTTCATACATTCACCATTTCTCATTTTTTGACAAGGGTCCTCCCATTTTAAACACAATTATTTTACTCTTCTTCAGTATTAATATCCATACCCCATTTAAAAGTATAAATATAATTCATCAAGACGTTTTTGTAATTTTAATACACTGTCTGCAAAAAGTATTAAAAAATCAATAAAAACGCAATTTACTTTTCCTATTTTGCAAGTGATATACTTTTGTATAATAGCTTGTAAATGAAAATGTCATCAATAGTGGTATGATCTTTCTTAAAGCCCCCTTGATATTCACCAAATATGCCTTGGTAGTCTCAGAAACATTGTAGTCTTTTTTTAAGAACATAAGAAAACATTTTACCCATTATATTGAGAAGTGATATAGCACGAAAGTTATTAGGATCACTTTTACTACCTTTTTTTATGCAGTAGCATTATTATTCCCGTTGAACATAATTTTGGGTAACGTCCACTGGACAACACTGCATTAAACAAAATGACAAGATATTGAGATATTGAGTTAATACAACAGATTTGTAAAATCCATCATCACCAGGTGATGAAATAATTTGACAAAATCACACGATAAAATATCATCTTGATTTTGACAGTCTGGGCACAAGCTATCAGTATGATGTTGAAGAAACTCACTAACTTCAGTTGCGAAATCCTTTTCCTCTATTGACACTGGATTAAGTAATTCCTTAAAATAGTCTACCCAAGTTGCGGGTGCGATGCTAGAGTCCTGCGAGCGTGCGGTGATATACCATTTAACAAGTCTCCAAAGTGTTGTACAGTTACTATCATTCACAGCATTAACAAATGTTTTTGTAATGCCCTGCTTAAAATAAGTCTTTTTTTTGGTTTACATAAAGATTTAAACTTGTTTCTAATGTTCTTGTATAAGTTATAGTTTTCCAGAGAAGACACCTTTCTCACTGTATTCAAGACTTTATACTTTTCTCTCACACACTTTTCTGTTCACACTCTTCATCAAACCATTCTGGTTGTTTCTTAAAGCCTATATATTTGGACCTCTTTATTCTCATATTCCTTCCACAGTATTGTATTATATGCTGTAACTTCTCTGCGGCTTTATCAACATCATTTTCCACACAGGTAATAAATTCATTTAACATTAACAGGGGATAACCATTACCAGTATTTTAACCGCATTTTAACCGATTTATTATATCAACTTCTCGTGTTAACAGGAGGCGGTGGTACAGGCAGTGGCACACCTCCTAGTGATAAGGATGGCGTAAAAGGGTGGATAAAAAGGCATTTAGAGGCATTAGAAGAAGCACTAGCAAAGCTTGCTGGGTAAGCCGCGTCTACACTTTCCGGTAAAATAGGGAGTATTGTATCCTGGCTCTTGAATTTATTAGCAAGGACCGCCACTTGGCTTAGTCAAAACATGTTGGCAGTGATAATAGCAATTGCAGGGCTGTTTTATGTATCCGCTAAAGACTATTTATCCAAATCATGAATAAACCCGCCGTGCCTCAACCTACTATAAGCGCTGTTTTTTCATCGATATGTTGTTGATTTGTGGCCACAATATGTGGCTTTACAACTTGTGTCTGAGAAACATGTGGTTTTGAAGATGACTGTACTTTTACTTTTCCTGTTTCACCTCTAATTGTTTGTGTTATTAATTCTGTGTTAATATCTGAATTTATACCTGGTTATGGTTTATCGGAAGTAATAACAATTGTATTATATTATAGCCTACAACTTTACCAATCTTAAGTTCCATATTATTGGGAGACATGTATAGTCCTGCCCCCCAAAACATAGTCTACTTTGGATAGAGCGTACTGTAATACATCTTGATAACGCTTTATAGAAGATGGTATGACAACTGGTGAAGCAATAGCATCCTCCACATTTGCAACAAACTGTTTTTGTGCATTTGTCCCAGAACCAATTATTCCTGTTCGTGTTGAAACCGGAACTGCTTCATGATATGAAGGACAGACACAGGTGTTGTTCGCAGTTATAGCCAGTTATTTATTACTGATAAATTTCTTTAAACCCAAGTGTGTGGACCTGGGTTCATCAGTCCAGACACAGACCTCTGCACGAGTAATACAGCTACATCTTTAGATGTGAATTCCAAAGTCAATAAATCAAACACCACAATTAGTCCAAATTGTGAATTCCAAAATGTCCAATGATATACGTGTGTTTGACAGTAACATCAAATGTGATCTATATCGTAGTAAAAACTAAACCCTTAAAACTGGAGACAGTAAGCTAGAAAGTTAAACACAAAGGGGCTGTGAGGGGCGCGCTTGGGCAGGCTATTGTGTGATAGTGCACTAGGTGATTGAGGCTGTGGCAAAGTACTCATGCAGAAAGCTGAAACAGAGAATTAGGAGAGCTGAAGTGTGAAGTATATAATGTTTAAAACATACTTGACTGAATATTTAATTCAGTAAAAATCTAAACTAATAAAACTCTGAAAATATATACAATTATCTGATCTTGTCACATACTTCTCTCCCTTGAATAATGGCGTCCTCGTCATTCCGGTTCTTCATCAACAAGGGAAAGCAATGCCTTGGAGATGCTGGTGCTGATGTGTCCTAAAATGCCGGTCGCTGCCAGTTGTTCCAGGCGTCGACTCCTCTGCTGCCAGTCTGGGTCAGAAGTCTGGCACATTACATAATCTCCTGAGGTTTGCCAGGCAGGCTTCCTTGTTAGTCTACCAGTTCTTCTTGGTGCAGGTATGGGTTGAGGATTAGCATCAGGTGGTACAGGGGGAGGTAGCTCTTCTCTGACTGAGTCTTCCGGCTCCTCTTCAGTGTTTTCTGGTGGTTGCACTGCTTCAGGATCTGCTTCTGTGCTGCTGTCTTCTTCAGGTATGTGGTCGTCACCACCAGAAGCATCACCTACTACTCCAAGAGACTGTAGAACGTCACCTGTTGTCTCTGAAGTAGCCGCACTCTCTTCCACAGTGTCTTCACTGATGATGGTAGCATCCTCAGCACCTGCTGGAAAATAGAATGGAGCATCATAGTCAGACTCTTTATCCTCCTGGATATCCTCTTCTATAGTCTTCTTCACGATCTTTCTTGGTCTAGGAGTTGGTTTCTTGGCTGCTCGTACAGAGTTGTTATCCATGATCGCTGGTACTGATCCAATGGGCAGGAGATGGTTTCTATGCAACGTCCTCTTCCTCCCCTCACCAGATTCTCTCTGCACTACAAACACAGGGATATCCTGGTTTGGTTGCAAGAGAACAACATAAGGATCTTCCTCCAAGCGATCTGCCAACTTGTGCTTACCATCAAAGGCTAAGGCTTTCACCAGAACTCGATCACCTGTCTGTACCGTGGCCCCTCTAGTCTTCAAGTCGTAGCTGGCTTTCTGTTTGCCTTTGGCAGTCTCTGATGCCTTTGACGCCAGGTCATAGGCTTCTTGGAGCTTCTTCTTCAGAGACTTTGCATAAACTGTCAGAGACTGATGATTCTTGTTGGTCTCGATCCCAAAAGCAAGATCTACGGGCAGACGAGGTTCACGACCAAACATAAGGAAGAATGGAGACTGGTTTGTTGATTCATGCCGGATGCTGTTATAGGCGTGGACAAGGGGAGGTACATAGGTCTTCCAATCTGATTTCTGGTCTGGTTGGAGTGTTCCCAACATATTAAGCAGTGTCCGGTTGAAGCGTTCAACCATACCATTGCCCATAGGGTGATAAGATGTTGTCCGGCTTTTGATCTTGTCACAGTGTTTGCGACTGTGCACCAAGAATTGCCCATACATAAGTTCTCATTGATTCATTAACTCTTACAACTCCTGGGTTAGAAAATTATTTTCCGTTTTATCATTAAGAAATTCATTCAAAGCGTTTGCGGTATCGTTTTGTTGTACAGACTTTGTAACAATATAAGCTAAACCACTCTTAAAGCTCAAAAGATCTCCTCTCCAATCATTACTTGAAAGTTCCCAGCCATGATAAAGATTATGCATTCTTTCAAAAATATTGGATTTCTGTAACAACTTAAATGGATTGAATGGTTTGAATCACTTTCTTCTTTAACAGTTGTTTTGCCACTGTACGGAATACCTAGACCATGGTTGAGTCCTTTAATACGCCAATCTGTAGTAGTAGTAATTTAAACTTCCTGACAAATACGTTCATATGCCCACCTGTTGTACGGATTATTTGATGCATTCCATGCTCGATCCTGCGGTACTGGTGCACTAATTTCTGCAAGTATACGTCTAGTATACATGAAATGATAAAACAGACTTATTTAGTTCAAAGCCAGCAGCATAAAGAGATACATCACATCCTGTTGTGGCACACCATATGGTTTAACTGGTTTTGCCAAAATACCATTGGATTGTGAAACCAATCATGCACCATTTTGTCGCTCGTTGCTGTGGACCTGTATTTTTCAAAGACATCAGGGAAATGTACAAAACAATTAGCACCAGAGACTCTTACTAAAATCGACTGGTTTGTAATGTAAGTTGATTTCATATTTAAGTTATAATATAGTTTCTTTGTATATTTAATATGTATCTTACACTCACGGGAATAACGAATGGCCAGTCTATTCAACTGCTTCATGCTATTGATAACTCGGTGGGGCAACTTGAAGTCGCTCTCTGCGATATAACGCATTACCCACGGTGGGCCAATATAAGTACTGCGCTAGGTAATAATAAGTTATTACTAGATAAAGACTGTCGCACTATATCTGATGGATATCACAGCGTATGCTCACTCAATGATGACATTTTAAAGCCTTTGGGAGCTAGTTTCACACAAAATGAGTCAAATGGGGTGCTGATTTTAAGCAGTGGAACACATTCTATAAAACATGACAGGGACTTAGCAAATACACTTGGATTTATAAGAAGAGAAGTGGCACCAAACACAACAGTGCATGGAGTTAAATTACCTGATATAGTTCTTAATTCAAAATGTAAAAATCATACAGTGGTATCCTCTGAGTACTGACCAAGCGCTAGTACTATTTATTTTGGGAGATACTACATGTATGTCTGTACGTGGAGAAACGTGAAATTGAAAACTAAGCATAGGATAAAATCAACTGAAACGTGTACTTTCTGTTGCCCGTCAGTTTAGATATGGACAGGTAAGTAAAAATCGATAGCCATCACCAAATAATCTCCAACTGCGATCTTGACCTTTTACACATTTGACCCCAAACCAAACCAAATAGAGAATCCTCTCAATCTGTAGTAGTAGAAACATAAAATTCTTGACAAATACGATTTTCAAATCTAGATTTGCTGACACTCCTTTAGCAATATTTTAATACAAGAAAGTACAGAACTAAAATAAACAATGGCCGAAGGTTAAGAAGCTGCACGCAGCGAATTTATATGCCTTCTGCAATTCCATCGCCCCCTAAACTTGAATTAAAGGGGAATTTAGCATCAAAATGGACGAGATTCAAGCTTGGTTGGGATAACTACGTGATTGCACAGACTTGTGAATGAAAATAAAGGACTTAGAACAGCGACATTGTTAACTGTAATTGGTTCGGATGCACTTGAAGTTTTTGATGGTTTCCAATAAAAATATGAAGAAGCCCAAACTGACATTGATATTGTTGTGCAGAAATTTGAATCACTTTGTGTTGGTGCTACAAATGAGACATATGAACGCTATCTGTTCAACAGGAGAGACCAAGAGAATGGTGAAACCATCGATGCATATGTTGCTGCTCTTCGTTCATTGGCCAAGTCCTGCAATTATGGAACTTTGATAAATTCTCTAATCAAAGACAGAATTGTCATTGGAATTTCAAATAACAGTACCAGAAAGAAGTAATTACAGACTTCTGATTTGAATCGGGAGAGGTGTATATCAATATGCAGAGCTTGTGAAACAACAGATCAACAGCTCAAGTCGATGAAGAGTGAACAAGTTTCAGATGTCAGTGGTGAAACTCACAGGAAAGGGCATCCTAGGAAACCTGTGAGAAATGAACAGTCAAAATCAAGTCTACAACGGGATGAAATTTCTGACTGCAGATATTGTGGTAGATCACATGCCAGAGATAGAATCATGTGTCCAGCCTTTGGTAAGACATGCTGTTATTGCAAGGGTGTGAATCATTTTGAACTGAAATGCAAGCTGAAAAGTAAAAAATCAAGGTCAAAACGTCAAAGTAAACAGAGACAGAATGTCAGTGTTGCTGTCGATACTGATGACTAATGACGCGGACAGTGAGTCAAATGAGTATGCTCTGAGTGTTGAAGAATCTGTCTCCATGGTGAATGGCAGTCCCCAGAAGAGTCTATTTGCTCATATGACTGTACACAAGAAGATGATCAAGTTTCAGTGTGATTGTGGAGCAACCATCAATGCTATGTCACAGTCACTGTATAACTCCCGCTATGTCAACGGACCTGATGAACTGAATAAATATGACACTCCACTGGTGATGTACAACAATTCAGAAATGAAAACAGCTGGCAGGAAGAAACTGTCAAGAATCCTAAGACTAATGAGAAATATCAGCTCGAGTTTATCATTGTGAAAGATGAAGTGAGACCAGTTCTAGGATCTCAAGCCATACAAGAAATGAATGTCATCACTGTCAATGTTGAGAACATTCTTTCTGTGTCAGGCGATAGTCTACTTGAAGAATTCTCTGATATCTTCAGTGGTGAAGACAAGTTTGATGGATCACTGAAGCTCGAAATAGATCCAAAAGTCTCGCCAGTCAAGATACCACTTCGAAAGGTACCTTTGTCTATCAAGCCAAAGCTCAAAACTGAAATTAGCAGGTTGGAGAAGATCGGGGTCATCAAAAGGTTTGATGTACCAATTGATTGGATATCTGCTATGGTGGTCGTCATGAAACCTAGTGGTCTTAACCTTTAGCCTGCTGAATTATTTTCACACTTCTTACCCCTGCCTGCTGGATTAATTTTAGCATAAGGCGCTCTAAAGAGGGTGGGTGATTTCAAACAGTCGATGCCTCATTAAACAAGGGCCAATTGAAGAAATATTTTGCACATTTAGTCATGATAGAAAACTACACAGTACTATATAGAAATATCCCGATGTTTTCAATCATACCAAGGTTAAGACCAAAGCGAACACAAAATCTGTAAATTTTCTTGAACCTACCTGAATTGCGTTATTGAAGGTGGTTTTCGTTTCATGCTAGGAACCTTTTAATATCGTAACATTTGTGCAAATTGTTGTAAAAATTCTTTTTTTTATCGGCAAATAACAGCGCGATGGTAAATTATGAACCATTTCAGTAAGTTTATTATGTAAACGTTAAACAGAAAAATAACTTTATTTTCGAGGTCATCATGTCGGTTGCAGAAATACGAACATTGGGGTTATAATTAATCTGACGTGTCATGTTATAAAATTTGCAGGAAACAATTAATTACTTATGAATATTCACAAATCCTTATTTCAAGCGTTTTGGTTGAATATTTACAATATACAAAAATAAACAACCCGTGTCATGATGCTAGCGGACCTCCTAAAATCAAACATGGCGCCTTCGCCCGACCTCTGAATAACATTTTGCTATTTCAATATCAACAAAGTTTACACTGCCTTTATGAATATGCCTTGTTTTATTTGTCATTTTCCAATTAATATGACGAGAGAAAAACGAAAATAAAGATCGTGAATTCTGATAGCAATATTTCAGTAAGTGCAAAGGTCACCGGATGTGATGTCACAGACAGGGGTTGTCTCCTGCTAATTTTTAGTACCAAATTTAGTAAATTTTGAAATATTTCGCCTATCACATACAGCAAAAACATAAGTCAATACATAGTATCAGTAATCACCACTAATATGAAATAAAAATGTGACTTTGATGATATAATTGGCGTATCATTTAGTCCGTTTGACCTTGCATGCTCCCGTGACCCAGAAACGGTAGACGATAAATCAACATTCCATATGCAAGTTTCTCGGTATCTTTTATTTGAATTTTTGTTGATATTTAAGAATCACCATTCAATGTTACGGTGATAATATATGGGCATGATTCATATTTCTGCGATGTATACGCTGATAAGTTTCACTATTATAAGTGTATCCCACGCAATACGTCTATGGATATGGTCGATCAGCAATTTAAGATCACCCTCTACAACAGGTGCGCGAAAATGGGCTTGACAAAACGTGTTTCAAAATAACATTGCTGCCTTGTTGAATATGATAGGATATATATAAGCAATAAAATGCTACATACATATTTTCGGTGTTAGTTCCACATTACATTTGGGACAGTTTTCCTTTCATAATACATTCATAGATTCTTGCATGATTTTAGAACAGTTTCACGAAGCATTTCTAAATTTATTCCCAAAATATGAAGACTGCCATGATTGCGTATTGATTATAGATTTGTAATTGTTTAATTATTTACAGCTGTTTACAGGTTTTAAAATTTTATGTTATATTTTTATATTTAGTAGTTATTTTTTTCCACAATGATTGTGTGTATGGACACTAAAAATTGGTCAATGCATCAGCACAGTGTTACTGATCAAACTTCAATTAATATCTTTAGTTTAAATATATTTTATTCTACAATTATTATCTTTCCCTCTGAACATCAATTATGTGAATAAGTAACTATTTTAAGTAACTATGTCATTTAATTTTAGTATTCCATAAATAATGAACAAATTGATCAGATCCTTAACATATACATACTTAACTC